ATATTCATTTCCCTTCGTCCAATTTTTCTCTCTTTTTTTTTCTCTTACAGCGCGTTTGTCCCCGTTACTTCCTTATGCTCCGTTTCAGATTCGCTTTCACAAGAGCGAAGTCGTATGGACGATGGAGCTTATAAACTCGATTCTTACCAACTGCAAACATATCTTCCCCCATAGCAAAAAAAGTCACAGTGATATCATAATGATATTGTTCTGTGACAATTAAATGTCACTTGACATCATTGTAATATTAAATAAAATGTTATTGTGAGATAATTTACACACACATACACACATACAACAAAATGATCTTTTATATATATATATATATATATATATATATATATATATATATATGTTTTTTAAAATAAATTTAATTTATTGCATGATTTACATTTTTGATTTTTTAAATATACATATGTATATTTAAAAAATCAAAAATGTAAATCATGGAATAAATTAAAATTATTTTAAAAAACGTATACATATATATATATATATATATATATATATATATATATATAAGATCATTTTGTTGGATGTGTGTGTGTAAATTACCTCACAATAACATTTTATATAATATTACAATGATGTCATAGTAATATCACACTTATGACAAAGCGGACATTTGCATGTCACCATGACTTTGTGCTTTCATTGTGACATATTATTGTGATATCACTGTGATTTTTTTTTGCTATGGGGGTTAATATCTCGATTGAGGAGCGCGCGAAAGAAGGTCGGTTTCATGATTAATCCTAGTTTTGAATGTCAGTTATCGAAAGACCGTGAATCATAAAGAGACGTGCATCCCCGGGATGGGCAAACTCGACATACGAACCGTATGACGTATGTCTTATCGAGCGGGATCACTTATCGCAAAAGGTGTATCGCGATTGTGCGGGACCACGTGCACGCACAGATGCGAATATGCGCGCGCGCTAATAAAGCGGGTCAAGAAGCGTTAGACTTTGGCTCATATTGTGGTAGGTTCTGTCTGGTATGCAACGCGCATGTGATAATACATAGTGGCTTGGCAGATTATGAACCCGGATCAGAAATACCACTATGCGCGCATATACAGTATCATTGTTGTGATTCCAAAGTCCGGAATGCACGTCTCGCAGCCGATGACGGGGAGGAAGGGTGGTGTCGACCATTAGTCAAGCCGATTAGTCGATTCACTATTTTCTTCTCTAATGCCAAGGTCACGGAAGCGCGCAGAGCGTGATTATTTCGCTGACAGTTATTTCGGGAAACGCCGTCGTATAATGCGATTATGCGATTTTATGCTGAGCGCAGGTGAATATGAATATACCGCCGAGCACGTGGAATATTTCGAGCGAGGTTGTGATTGAAAAAAAGTGAATTCGAGTTATATAATACAACGAGCTTGAATTTTTTTATTTCCATATATGGAGTCCTGGTTGTTTTGAATCTGAAGCTGGTTATGCGAATTTATTAGTCGCTTCATTATTTAAAAATGTTAATTTAATATTGAATGCAAATTTTTTCTGAATTATTTAAAATCTAGAATCTTACGTGGATGATAATTATTATTTCAAACAGAAGAAAGCAGCAAAGAAACGGAAATAAAATATTATTCGGTAGAATAAAGTAAATGAAAGTAACACGTAATATATTTCTTAAAAAGACTTAAAAAATCACATTTAATACTAAATATTTAACGTGAATGTAAGCAATTATGTTTGGAAAAAATTGATATTGCTGTGTGTTTGTTCGATTATTCGAGTAAAACGTGTCGTATCTTATATATAATATACTTTGTTTGGAATCGATTGATTTCATACTTTATTTGGAATTGATTACTCAAGCAATCGATCCACTTTTTCTTCAAAAAGTATTTTTTAATATCTTTTAATAATTTTCTTTTTTATTTTTTAATAATTTTTCGGTAACTCGTCAGTGATGACAGATGATAATAAGAGATAATAAAAATGATTTTCGGTATTTTGTCGATTCTCAAAACAAATATTGTTAGGTGATCAAATAAAACTCTTTCAGATAAAAAGAAACGATAGAAATGATTTATAAAATGAGACGAAAAATTATTGATGAAGCGAGATAATATAATATTACATAATATATGTACAATATATTATTTTTCCTGTATATGTGTACGCAATAATAATGCATTTTCCTGTTTCTTTGTAAATAAATGCACTTGATAAACTGAAAAATAATTGCACAACGAAAGCTCTGCTCTCATTTTTTATATGATTAGAAATCGCAAATGAAGAAAACCTGTCTCGCATCGCGATGCATCAAGCTTGGAAAATTGAAACACTTGTATAATAGTCGGAAAATATTACATATTTTTTATAGGAAATAAATTTGAAGTTCTCATCTTCTATAAAGTAATCAGTTTGAGTAAATATATAAACTGAAAAGAAAATTTAAATACAAACGCGAATAATTCCATATAATAATACAAATGCATACATACATATATGTATATTGCGATTATAATACTTATATATTTTTATGTATAAAATAAATATTAAATTTTTAAACTCTATTTTTTTAGTATTTTAACTCTAGTTTTTTTATAAGTTTTTTTTAGAATAAAATTTATTTCACTGATACACTTACTCGTATTACTATATCTCTGAAGTTAATATTTCGTTAATTTATGCTCACATAAAATATGCTTTTATAATCTAATCTCAAAAATGCGCCATTTTTGTATTATTTAAAGACAGTTGCATCATTTTTTTGCATAGTACTATAATTTCTTGTTTATGTAACATGTTTTTTGACGAACTGAGCTTTTCTTTAATCAAGAACATATGTTATACGATTGGAAACAATTTTAGGCGATAGCAAAGAATTGATAAACCACTTATTTGTGATATCCCAGTTGTTTTCCAACATTCTCTTCCAAGATTAGATTCGATAAGTTTGATAAGATGGGGGGGAATTGCCTTACCTCCGCGACTTATGACGATCGCGTTATGAAGAAGTGACTTTTTGCATATAACTGGAATATATCCAAACGGAAATAAAATATACATAATGAGAATTATTTCTTATTTATTATTTTTCGGTTTCATCATTGACATTAGCATGCATAAGGTTGGACGTCATATACATTTAAAAGCGAGATATATTCTATTTATACATTATTTATTAGCATAGTTATAGTTTCTATATGTACGAAAAAATATTTTCAAAGAAAATGAAGGATTATGCGGAACAGACTTAAGATTTATAAATTTGCAAAACTTTGGCGTATTCATGACAGTTTTCCTGCGTGGAAGATACGCAACTTGCATTTTTTCAACATGTTAATATCTATATCTATTTACATTTTGGATAATTATTGGAATCATTAAAAAAAATTAGATATTGAGATTTTTTTCAGGTAAATATATGGAGATTTTGATTCGTTCAATTTATCGACGCAATTTACATACTTTGCAATTGAAATCAAGAAAAAGGAATTGATTATACGATTTTACGCGGTTGAAGAAAAGACGGAATAAAACGATATCACGTACTAATTAATTCTAATATATCGTACATAAATTATAAATTATTCCAAGGTCTCTACGTCTTTCGCGCGATACGTGCATCTCGTTCTATTATGAGCCGGTTCTGCGAGAAGGCACGCACAAAAGGTGATTAAAAGTAAAAATTCATCCATGCGCAATGAAGCGTTAAGATGTTTGCACGAAATGTGATACGATTATTTTTCGAAAAATTTTAAAAATTTCAAATTGACTTTAATTGTATACTTATATCTTGATTAATTATGATTTAATCCGTTCTAACAAGTAGTTAATTGCATAATAATATATATTTCAGTCATTAAAAAACTTTTCCATCATCGAAGCTCTTGTATATTACATTGGTCTTAATTTTAAAAAGTGCTTGTAAAAATTAAATTAATTTATATTTATATAAAGAAATAAATTACATATATATTACATATATATATACCAATATATATATATATATATATATATATATATATATACATCCTACTCTCTTTTATAAAATATAATAATAATTTATCAGAAGAATATAAATGTGTTTTATATAATTTTCGAAATTTGATATTTCACATATAACGAGAATCGATAATCATCGTGATTATATGAGATAATTTTGTTCCGCATAAGTGATTCTTTTTTGTCAATTTTCAAAATTTTATTAGAATGATAACGCATGTGTTAAAACCTTAATATAGTATTATTTTTCATATTTATATTTTATATTAAGAAAAAATGTATAAATAATATATATATAAATATGTATATAAATTATTTCGCATTTTCTTAAAATACTCATATTCTCTTATGAATATTCTAAATAATAAAATTAAAAACTTGTATTTTTTAATGCTTACGATTAGATAAATTTTTATATCGCTGGGTCTCTCTCCACCTTGCTAGCTATTATTCGAATTAAGCACAGGCTAATCAAAATTTAATATTGTAAATTCCTGCAATATGTGTACAATATGAAAATTTTGCTAACTCACGATGTAACGTATATAAAGGATATCGAGTCGATTCTAGTTTCGAATTAGTTGAACGTCGTCATGCAGTTTATCTCTCACATTATGTTATCGTCGTATGCAATTTCTCAAGGTTTACGACGATTTACATACTTAACCCCTACTGACCCAGTATCTATGCCGATAACCATGTTATTAAAATCTAAAATCATTCGTCGATATGTCACATCATCGCCGGGAAACATAAATCGATGATAATATCTATAATGATGTGTAATTCACCGATTCAATTAATTTACTGTTTAGCCTTCTCTTCATTCTTTAGTCAGAGTTTCGTGCAGCATATCGCGTAAAGAAGACACGTGTAAATTTATATGGGATGTACCGGGATATTCTCCCGTTTGGAATCTGGCTTCGTATATCTCCGGTACAGAAAGGACGAGGGAGTCGCTCGGCGGCTCGTCGAAAGTGCCAAAGAGAGAATTTGCATAAAAGAGATGGTCTGTTTCCTTTGTCGCAGATGCGGATTTGGGCATGGCCGCGGGGGCGGTCGGCGGCCCTGTCCTGAATCTACCTTCGGTTCCGGTAGGCAACGCAGCATGTGCCATATGCGGCGATCGTGCCACCGGGAAGCACTACGGCGCCGCGTCTTGCGATGGCTGCAAGGGATTTTTCCGGCGGTCCGTCAGGAAGAATCATCAGTACACATGCAGGTACACTTGGCCCTTGGCGATAAATATATGCAAAATATCTTGCTTTATACTGGTTCCGTATCTTAGAAAAAAAATAATTTTTTTTTATTTTTACCTTACAGGCTTATGAGAAAATGTCAGATCGACAAGGACAAACGGAACCAGTGTAGATACTGTCGATTGCGCAAATGCTTCAGAGCCGGCATGAAAAAGGAGGGTGAGTTTTTTTCACGCGTATCTTACGTATAATAGGTTTGTCTGTAGAAACCTTAGGAGCCTTATTTTAATCCTAAATGGAATAATAAAGTATATATCGTAGTATACGATATTCGTGGACAGAGAAAAATGTATACTGTATTCAAGTAAATATTATTTATTTTAAGTATATCATAAGTTTATATATCCGCAAATATATCATAAGTTTATCACAAGCATTAAATTTAATTGAATATATTCTGAATTTTAGTAAGTGTAGTATTTTAGTCAAGAATATTAAATTAAAACAGAAATTTGCTTACTACAAGAGTTGACGTAAAGCAAGTTTCTTTTCTTTGATACAACTTTACAATATTCTTGAAGAGAAAATAAATTCTTCTTTTGAGTACATGATAATGAGATTTTCTAACACTTGTGAGTATATTTTAAGATTATTAGAATATATTCTTTGTTGAAGAAAACTGTTACTTAAAAAAAGAAAAATAAATTGAGTAATCGCTTTTCTTGGCAATAGAATGATATTTTTCTCTGTGTGGATCTTATTTTTTCTTTTTACTTTAATAAAATCTCTTTTTTATGATATCCGTGTCTTTATTTACATTTGATAATGCATACAACTATATAAGAGCATATTAATTTAATTGCAAATATATTATTCTTTCCACAGCCGTACAAAACGAGAGAGACCGCATAAACAATCGACCGCCGAGCAACGAGAATCAGACGGAAAATAGCGGCCCCTCGATGGAGGACTTACTGATGGCTGCAAGACATATCGGCATGCTTGAGGTCAGTGAGGCTTAACCTCGGCCGAATTGAATATTTATAATTGCAATCCATTTCTCGTTAATGTGCGTTGAGAACCCGGTATGCTTTAACCGACTTTTAATTATGTTTATTTCCCTTGGTACTTGAAGCGGTTAATAATCCTTACAATCACCCACCAGAAGAGAGCCCTTTTGAATTCTTTCCTTCTTAAATTCGATGATCAAGTCATTTACATGCTACACTTCATGTAGCACTCGTAAAGCGATCTAACATTAATTATTATATCTACACATTTTGCAATTTAATGCTAAATATTCATAGAAGAATTAATGTGTGATTTAAAAGATTCCTGTTTTGACATTAGTCTTTTTATATCACGTTCAAACCAAGATTAAAAATTTTATTTAAAATTATAACAATACATAAAATAAAAAGAGAATGAATGCTCTGAGCTCTATATTCTGTGCATTAATCACCATATTAGTCATCTTAATTCCTCTTATTTGCTTCACAGATTTGTTGGAATATTCACGTTCCATATTTATATCATTAGCATTCCTCTTTATCTATATTTATTAGAAAATTGTTGGAAAATAATATATCAAAAAATTCTTCGTATCAACTTCTCAACGTATATCTTATTTCCTTTAACAACCGCAATGTCACGATCATTCTACATGATTTTAACAGCTAGTCAACCCGAAAGAAGACGTCGATCCTAGCACGAAGCGAATAGCTGGTTTAAACGACGTGTGCGACAGCATGAAGGAGCAATTGCTGATTCTGATCGAATGGGCCAAATGTATCAAGGAATTTGATACGCTACCGCTAGACGATAAAGTCGCATTATTGAGAGCTCATGCAGGTGAACATCTGTTACTGGGTTTGGCCAGACGCAGTCAAATACATAAATTGACAGATGTACTATTGCTCGGCAATGATTGCATTATCATGAGAAATTATCCTGGTACGTAAAATTGGTGGAGATTTATCGAATCGCATGGTGCAGCTTCTGATTTCTCCTTTTTTCTCAAGCAAAGCAAGCGGTGTTAAACACAGAGTTCTAAAGATACGTCTGAAAAAAATACGTTTGGACATTCATCGAACGTCATTGTTTCAGTATCTTCGGATGTCTGTCTTCTTGAGATTCATATTGTGTAAAAGGTTACGCTTATCGATGATGATTCATATTCCGTGTCTGGCTCCGACTTGCTCCGACTTGCTCTTATTCATAACACTTCTCTATGTTGTGCGTTTTGGCTTTACTAAATAAGGACATTAGATCTCATTGTGTGGGAACGTGTGTGGATATGCTTGAAAGCTCTCTAAGAGACTTCCTTTTTGAACGCATATGTTCAGAGATGAATGTTAGGTAAATCCTGAGTTTTCTTCTCGCATACGTTGCGCAAAAGTCTCATCTCGTTGCGGTTCGGACGTTAAGTGCTATTTATGTATGCGGTATGCAAAAAATAGTTACAACAATATAAAAAGATACAAAATAATAATAATAATAATAATAATAATAATAATAATAATAATAGTAATAAAATAATAATAATAATAATAATAATGATAATAATAATAATAATTAATAATAATAGCTAAGAGTATGAAATATTCGCGAAGAGAAAATCACTTATGGAAAATAACAGTGCACAAAGATTTTTTCCTGATAATTCCGACATTTGTAAAAGTCAAATATTTCCAAGTGTAAACCATGTTTCGAAAAACATGTGGAACATTCCACAGCACAAGTGGCGTCTTATCGAACGAACCAAGATATCTCGACTGTCGTTTACAAAATCCGTTGATATTAAAGCGATACCGATGCGCCTTTTGCGATGCGGGCTGTGTCAGCATCTTTTTTTTTTAAGATTCGAGCGTACACGTGAAGGAGAGCCTCTAAATAGCCGATTCGACGGCCTTCACCTTTTTGCTTACGTAATTTCGTCGCTCACATTGTGTGAATACCGCGTTCGTTCGTCGTTAAGTAGCTGCTCACTAAATTTCCTCTATATCTCGTTATCGCGTTTCGTCATAATTCTCTAAAAATCATAATTTTATCTAGAGTCTATGAGAGTTTACGAATATTAAGAGAAAAAAAAATTTTTGAAATTTTTGGAATTTTTGTTTGCGCGAAAACTATCGATTGCTTTCGTTCCTCCGAACATTTTTCTTTCCACTGTAATATAAGATACATACGCGCCGAAATAATTTTCAATATTTTACCACTAACATTTTGTATCGATATAAATATGTAGGTCTTTTCTTGGATATCGGATTTATTTGGTAAGTTGATGAACTTGCATGTGAAATTTCTAAAACACACATTCTCTTTCTTGTTTTCTTTCTTACGAAACTTCTCTTTCGAATTATAATTTACACATTTAAAATCTTAATTATACAGGGTAGACCATTTTAAACACACGCGAATATCTCAGAAACACTGCATTAAATCGAAAAATGTTTCAGACAAAAATTGTATAGCTTGAAAGAGGCCATAAGATGGTGTCATTGGTTTGATTTTGAAGATCACCTCCAACTTTTTAAATGGGACACCCTATATACTTTTGCATATTCTTGTAGCTTGCCTCAAGAGCTTTCCAAAAGATTATGATAAAGTATTTTTTGATTGAGTACTTTCTGAATTATGAGGCATGAAATAATATCTTAATTTTACATAAACCATAAAATATCTAGTAAAATATTCATTTTTCGATTATCTTACCTTAATACTTTTATGTACAAAATAATGAGAGGAATCGATTGATATGAAGAAAACACACAGTTGTTTTTAAGAAAAAATATTGTTGTTAATTGCAAATTATATATTTTTTCTTCGAAACAACTATGTGTTTTCTTTACACCAATCGATTCCTCTCATTATTTTGTACATAAAAGTATTAAAGTAAGATAATCGAAAAATGAATATTTTACTAGATATTTTATGGTTTATGTAAAATTAAGATATTATTTCAAGCATCATAACTCGGAAAGTACTCAATGAAAAAATACTTTATTATAGTCTTTTCGAAAGCTCTTGAGACAAGCTACAAGAATATGTAAAAGTGTATAGGGTGTCTCATTTAAAAAGTTGGAGGTGACCTTCACGTGATCTTCAAATGACTTTTCAAAGTCAAACCAATGACACTATCTTATGGCCTCTTTCAAGCCATATAACTTTTGTCTGTAACATTTTTCAATTTAATGCAGTGTTTCTGAGATATTCGCGTGTATTGATTAAAATGGTCTACCCTGTATATTATAATTGATATTTAGATACGCTTGTATATTCAAGTAAATTTTATATTAATTTATTTACGTGTTTGAATATTTAATTCTTCCTAATCATTTTATGAATTTAAACTTTAAGAGAATTTTTACTTTTAAGAACGCACGAAAGTATTCAAAAATTATGTTTTAGAATTAAATTTATTCAAAGACATTTCTCCCTCTTTTTTTCTCGATACAAATATATATTTAATTATCATTCTTAATTATTATAAAATATGTGTGTATATATATGTGATGTGTATTAATTTAATTTTCGTAAATTGGATGACTTTGTAACAAGATAGGTGATTTCTAGTGTGATATTTTTCTCTATTTATTATGAAGAAAGCGTCGGCAAATTGTATTATACTAATGCAATATATGACAGATAAAAAACGCTCTGTTACTTATTTGTCACACAAGTTATTATGTAAAACATTTTGCGGCGGAATGTTATCTTTTTGTGATTAACTTTACCTTAATGGAAGGATTTGAGAGTCACACGACAAAACGATTCGTTCAATTACGAAATTTTCGTAATATTTAACATCGAAAAATATCAATGAATTCAAAAATCTATTATCAATCTATGTCAAAAATATTATATTATATTAAATATTATAAAATATATTATTTATATCATTTTAATATCTCAATAATAAACGTTAATAAACGCTAAAGCTAAACTTACAATTAGTAACTGGACGATTCGTTTTATGTGTGCACGACTTTGGGGCGTAGATAGTTTGACTGAGTCCGGGATTTATGTTGTGTGCTATTTTAAAATGCATGCCGGAGAAGTGTGAATGCCGATATGATTTGGTTTGCAAAATGTTTTTGTTTTTCACCGGACTCAGTTTCTACGATCACGAGAAAATACGAATGGCATAATCGCCGTCTATCAGTAATACCGTTGCATTTCACAGAAGGAAGCAATCAGCAGGACTTAGATATCAGCAAGGTTGGCGTTAGAGTGATGGACGAACTGGTAGAACCGTTAAAGAAGATCAAGATCGATGATACGGAGTTCGCTTGTCTCAAAGCAATCGTGTTCTTTGATCCGAGTAAGTGTGTCTTCTTGTTAATAAATCTAAAAATGGCGATTCGCAATGCAAAGTTATCCGAATGCACGTCAGAATAGAAAAAAACTATCGTTGTATGCAATATAATGCATTCCGTTATTAGTTCGAGTCGCTCGCATCAATTCGATCTTATTGAGGCAATCACTCCTCGTGAGCTCTCTAAGCTTTCTTAAATAAAACAAATTATCGATTATTTATAAGTATCAGCGATAAGACATAAAAATTGCAACTATTTTGTGTTCATTTTGCATCAAGATTTTTGTAATAATTTAATCTCATATCGCGTCGTAAAATATCTCTTCATTCATTTAATTTATTAATAATTAGCATTTTGCGAGGGTTTGTTGAAATTGGAGAAGATCTCTGATTATATACGATCACTTCAGCGTTATATATTTATTACTTTCATTTCTCTTTACAGATGCGAAAGGTTTAAGCAATTCGGAGACAATCAGGACTCTGCGTAAAAACATTCAAATAAAACTTGAGAATTATATCAGCGATTATCGTTGTCATCTCACAGGACATTTCGGCGATATTCTGTTACTGTTACCAGCCTTGCAGTCAATCTCGTGGCAAATGATCGAACAGATACAATTCGTCAAGTTATTCGGGATGGCGCATATCGACAATCTGCTTCAAGAAATATTCTTTGGCACTACATCGGAAGTAAATGACACTATCACATCCATACCGATCTCAAATACTGCGCCAGGCAGTTACATGAGCAGCAACGAGAGTCCTACCAGTCCTTTGACGCCAGCCAATACCGGTAATCTCAGTCCGCAGACTGATCAAATGCCCGTCATGATCCTGAGGGATTTGGCGCCAAATCAGGACTTCAGGTTCTTCAAACAGGAACCAAGTATCGAGCCTGAGACTAGTTTCTGACTAGATTGGGAGCTGACTAGCCAATGATGTTTTCTGCTCAAACAGTTGCTCAAATAATAAAATTCTAAATAGCATTATATTATGTCATCATAACATCGAATTAAATGTGATCGATGACATTAATAAAAAATAAATATTATAACATTAATAAAAAATGAATTCGTACATGTCGACGCAACACATTAATTTTATCATTTGTCGGAGGGAATGTCCGCTTAAACATCCAGAGTCTGGTTTACTGCAAGTTGACAATGCAGAATGTTTTTACGGGCATTTGATCAGTTTACCACAATCACGATTTGTAATAAATCTTGTACAAAAAACGATTGATCGCCGACCATAATAGATATTAATGTGACAGGCGATGAGATTGCATCTTGCCACTACTATTACTGTTACAACAGTGTTCTCGCTGTCTTCAAAGTACGGATTAAGATTAAAAATCGAAGAATGAAACATGTATAATGTCGTGCAATTGTGTATAATGTTATGCATGTGTATAATATCATGCAAACAATAATTAGCAATTAAATTAAAGCAAGATTTAAAATTGATATAATTCTATAATTTTCAATTTTTTACTAAAATGTATACACAAAAGATCTTATAACTGAATGTTACATTTTGATCTTCATACATATAGAAATCGACTTCTCATGCCTTACGATATCAAAATTCGAAAACGAAATAATACCGGTTAATCTCTAATTTCAAAAGATGCAATAGAAAATAAAATTATATCCGATTATTATTTGTACATGAAACATGTATGTCAAGATAAATAAGTAAAGATAATCAAAGTGTTACAAGAAATATTTTTTTATTGTTCTGCTCAATCTGTGAATAGAAATAATGTTATTCTATTCATGATATAGTAATGTAAATAGCATGATGTAATAATATAAAAATATGTATAAATATATATAAATATATATATATATATATATATATATATATATATATATACGTGTATTAAATTAATGGTCTACCCTGTATATATATATATATATATATATATATATATATATATATATATATACAGGGTAGACCATTAATTTAATACACGCAAATATCACAGAAACACTGCGTTAAATCGAAAAATATTTTAGACATAAGTTGTATGCCTTAAAAGGAGACATTTTTCGATTTAACGCAGTGTTTCTAAGGTATTCGCGTGTATTGATTAAAATAGTCTACCCTGTGTATATATATATGTATATATACATATATATGTATAAATATGTATGTATAACATTCCAAATATAGATATATATCGATGTTATAAGCATTAATTGTAAATATTTTTAAACAACTGACGGGATACGCGCGCTAAATATATAATTACCTAGCACGAGTTCCCTGTAAAATGAAAAATGCGCCATTGCAATGCAATTTATCGTTAGTACTATAGTGATAAGAAGTGCACGCGCATTAGCCATTTTGCACGTACGTACATTAAACTATCAGTGAATGGGTACAGTAGTTGTGCCTGATCAAAATGGCTTTATTGTGGTGTTAGGTTTTAGCAAAATGTCTACATTGACATATATTAAGGCCGGATAAAAAGCAATAACATAGTAATCAGGTAATCAAGTAATGTTAACGATAGAACAATAATGAATAATGAAAATTATAATAATGTTAATATAATATATAAGATAGATCGGGAGAACCGCTGGAACAATCGAAATAGAAGTGATTTCTCATATAAAAGTAAGATATATAATATGTATAAATGGATATACATATAACAATCTATTAAAAAACAAAAATAATTTTGATATTTTACATATACAATTTTTCAATAAATTAAATTATTTTAAATCATTTTACTGTTTCTCTCTCTAATGAAATATTTTTATGTTTACATAAAATAATCATTAGATATCTTCAAGCTTAAAAGACTTATTAATTTTCCAATTTTTGAAATTAATTTTCTGGAAAATAAAAAGTTGTATGGAGATGAGTTTTATTCCATATTTCTCCATAACGAATTTGATAATATGATTTTCGATCCATCTTATATACATATATTATGCATTGATCATATAGATTTGTACTGTAATCATAGAAAGTTATTGAAAATAATCCCAAATTTTAAAAAATTTAAAATATAAATAAATTTGTAATTTACAAATTCTCGTAGCACTGCAATTTATAAGACTTTAGAATTATCTTTCTTGTTCTCTTATTTAAATTTTACTATGATTTGTATGAGTCTTTATAATAAGTCTAATATTGAGTCATTATAATAATTTTGTGTCATATTTGCATTATTAAATTCTGAATAATTCTTGATGACATTTATTTTATGTCATACATTACATTTCTATAAAGTTTCAACAATATATATATAGTAGTATACAAAAAGACCTATGTTTTATAGTGTAAGTCATAGATTTTACTATAAGTCCGGCGAATATATTTTCTATTTTTGTACGAAAAAGAATTTAAACAACATTAACATTTAATATAAGATATGTAATAATGCAACAGAAGAAAACAATTGTTATTATTAATAATGAAGAGATATTTCACATGAAGAATTATATTAGTGTTTTATGTATATTATATATCTGTTAAGATATATATTTTAATAACTGTTAGTCGTGGGTTGTGAAATAAATATGATCCTTTGTTGCACGATGTTTTACGATCTTTTGTTCTTTCTATACATTGTTAACAGTTCGAATGACTGATTCCAAGATGTGTAAATAAATTTTTGTTATTTAATAAATAGAACTCACATAGATATTCTTATATAAAGAGATATATGTAGTTTCATTATACAATAAATTTTATTTAATATTATGCATAAGTATATCTTCTCCTACATTATACAATTGTCTATATAAGGCCCAGTTCCACAACTTACTCTAACCGAAATTTAGCTCGTTAAAGGAGGATTTACATTGCGTCCAATGTCCGATGACGTCCGATTGGATACAGTGGACTTTTGACGCCATGTAAATCCTCCTTTAACCAGCTAAACTTCAGTTAGAATAATTTGTGGAACTGGGCTTAAAACATTGCATTACATTATTCAGACATTATAATTATTGAATTTTGAAATTATTATTTTATCACAAATTTCATGCAATTTTAATCAAGTTCATAATCTGTTCGTTTACGTTTCTTAAGATTTACTGCACTCTGTGAAGTTTCGATAACATTTGAACCTTTCTTTAACCATTCATTTAATTGCAATTTGGCTTTCCTACCTGCAAGAAATAAATCTCTCTCTAATCTTGGCAGTAAACTATTGAGTGTGGGATCGGAAACAGGATTTTGTGCCCAGTCCATAACTAATCTGAATCTTGATCTGAAGGTCTAGAAAGTATAATGCATAATTAAGTAACCAATATATCTGAACTAACTAATTTCATTTGAATAAAGTCAACAAAATTACTTACCAATAACAAACTGTCAATTATTATTTCACAATCACGATTATTGAATTTTCTTAAATACATCCCTAGTTCATAATAATATGGATTCCATTTATTCAGTACAACCGTACAGGCATCCGCTAATAATATTTCTCTAAATAGAAGAAACAAATTGTTAGAAAGTCCCCCTCAATCTTATTAAACAGTAATTCTGCTATATGTATATTTTTATATTTTTATAGATTGTGATTTAAATAAATAGGAAAGTTTAAACTCTTAATAAAATTTCATATGAAGTAAATATCTTAAGAAATATAAAATTAATTATTAATAGATTATAAACTTGTAGATATATACCTGTAACCTTCCTTGTATGTTTTGGGTATGTCTACACTGACTATTGATTCTCTCGCTATATTCAACGGCTGTGCCAGCCACAGTGGAAGTTCTAACTTTGTACCTATTTTTAAATCCTCAGACTCAGAGGAAAGATCTAGGAAACCTAAGTATACATGAGATAATATTAATAATATGCAGAGTTCATATTTCATAAAACTAATAACATAAAGAAAGCATAAAAATTAGATATTTGACTTATATTAAGCTGTGCTATTTTTATTTGACAAACTTTATATTAGCATATAATTATAATTTGAAAGATTAATTAATAACTGTAATAATGCAGAAATTCTTTTTTGTAAAGAATAATTCCTATTCTATTTTTTCATTATTACTATTATTAATTCCATTTAAGATTCACAAATCATTCTTTGTATATTTCAGACAAGATAATAGGAAAAATCTTAAATTATAAATTTACCTAAGCGAGGTAATGTAACCTCGACTTTGCACGATATTCGTTCTTCTGTACACAAAATATCCGTCAAAGAAAAATAATCAGGCATATAACTGTAGGACAAGGTTGTCATGTTTTTTAAAAAGCTTTAGAAATTCTGTTAAATTCGACAACGTTCGAATAATTTTTTCAAATAAACGACTCGTATCACCTGACACACCTGTTGCATATTTATTTTCAGTGCTGACAATACAAATCTAATTTACAAATCAGAATTGCCAATTTTAATTCAACATTATCAACATATACAGAAAGAAGACTGAGAGATGTCATGGCCAGCTTTTAGATGATCCCTGGAAGCGATACTCCCTCTATGAACATTAAAAACGAGGATATGAACTACAAAACGTCCAAATGTCCACGAATGTTCTCAGAGGGTAACATATATGTCCCTCTGATAATATAAATAATATAAATAAAAATATAAATAATTTAATTAATAATAATTTATTATATAAAAATATTAGTATGTCTCTCTTTTCACGCTATTATTTATATTATATATTTATATTATATACTTATATTATATATTTATTTATTTATGAGTCTTCTTTTTCTTTTTCTCAACATCATTTATTTATTTATTTATTTATTTAGTTCGCTCTCAGTCTTTTAAAATGCAAAACTAAATATTATAAGATTTGATTTTGGAAAAGCGCGATAAAACAATCGAATCATTCGTAATTCAAATCATTAGCATAATGTTCCGTGATACATCAATCGTTTATAATTAATTGATTTAAAATAAAATATACTTCTATAAATTTAAAATTCCACGTGTATATGTAGTACATAAAATATTTCGGCAGAGAATTATCATGTTCGGGCTTGACAACGTATAGCAAGCGAGCTATACATGTCACGGATTTGTTATCATTCTCACGGTAACATTCGAATAATAAAATAGTAATGTGCCAAATGCTTTGTATATTATCAAATTCTTTTTCCACCTCGATCGTGACTAATATTGCAGAAATCTAAAATAATAAATTATGATTTCCATATGAAATCGATTTTTACGAGCAGAAATTATTCCTTTAATATTTATAAATATTTATAGAGTCGAATACAATGTCTGCGATGTTTTATCGCTTTATTTTTCAATCATTGAAATATAATTCGAATTGTGAGAACGCGCAATAAAACAATTGAATCATGGATCTAAACAATTAACATAATGAAAGACTCCATGATACATCAATCTTTTAATAAACTAGATAACGCAATTTATTTATTCCCTTTTATTATATATACATTTCTCACTGTCACACAAGCTGTCAAAATTTGTAATAATCGCAAATGACAGCTGCTCACAACATGAATTGAGCGCAATAAAAAAACCAATCAGCATCACGAAAAAACGGCAACAATTCAAGCGTCACATGTCATTTTTCATATAGAGAGAGAGAATATAATCATATAATTAAAAAATCTATATAATCTAAAATACTTCTATATACTTTAATATATTTCATGTATATATGTATACATATGTTAAAATACATAAAATATTTCGATGACGAACAAACAATAACACCGATCTTGGCGGCGTAAGCAATAGCGCGTTAATGTTTATACGCCATAGTCTTGAAAAACGTTTCAGTAAAAAAATAATAACAACTATCTTTCAGACCAATTTGTTCGGCTCTATTATTATTCGCGTGACGATATTCAAAGAGTAAAGTAGTGGAACAAGACGCTCCGTTAAATCCTTTTAGACGCGATCGCGATCGATATAGAAAAATTATTTGCTGTATTAAAATATGTAAAATATAATATAATATAATATGATATAATATAATATAAATATGTATTGTTTACGCCAAGGTCGATATTATTGTCTGTTCGTCATCGAAATATTTTACGTACTTTAACATATTTATATTATATTATATTATAGTATAAAATACTGGGTTGGGTAAGTTTATATTTTTTTTAAACTAAATTAAGTTAAAACTAATGGGTTAAAAAATTAATTTAGTTATGTTAAAAGTTACATACAAATAAAAAATTAATTCAATAAAAGTTACATTAAGATTAAATTAACGTTAATTAAGATAAAAGTTAAAATTTTGAAAAGCATTATTTCACTTTATATTAAATTAAATTGTAATTTTAAAATTAGATTACTCTAAATAATAATAATATGAATCATCAAATAAATTTGGGGGGAAAGTTAATAAGTTTAAGTTTATGTGTTTTAAAAATAACTAGTTAAAGTTAAAAGTTAACTCTTTTTAAAATAACTAAGTTGAGTTAAAAATTATTAACTTTTTTTTTAACTTTTAACTAATCAACTAGTTATTACCCAACCCTGGTAAAATATAATATAATATAATATAATATAATAATACAATAAAATATAATATAATATACTTCGATATGACGAACGGGTAATAACACGGTGTTCGGCCTTGACGATGTAAACAATAGCGCGCTAGTCATACGGTCTTGGTATCATTCACAAAGCGACAAAATGTTTCGATGAAAAAATAATAATAACACGGTCTTTCGAACTAACTTGTTCGACTCTATTATTATTCGCGCGACGACATTCAAAGAGTAAAGTAGTGTATAAAGTAGGTACAAGACGGTCCGTTAAATCCTTTTCTAGACGCGATCGCGATCAATATCGAAAAATTATTTGCTGTATTAAAATATGTAAAATATAATATGATGTAATATAATATAAATATGTATTGTTTACACCAAGGTCGGGATTATTGCCTATTTGTCATCGAAATATTTTACGTATTTTAACACATTTATATTATATTATATTATATTATATTATTATATTATATTATATATTATATTATTAGAATATAAAATATAATATAATATAATACAATATATTTCGATATGACGAACGGACAATAACACGGTATTCGGCTTTAATGATGTAAACAATAGCGCGATAGTCATACGGTCTTGGTATCATTCACACGGCAACACTCGAGCAGTAAAGATCGTAGTGCGAAATACGTCGTATATTCTTAAATTAATTGCTATAATAATTAAACGATTATTGTATCATAACTTTCAATTATAATAAACTTTCGATTCTATAATTCGTATTAATATACATGTACTGCATATATATTTCAATAATAAAAACAACATTTGTAATGAATTAGTATTATATTTAATTTGATCTCATAAAAACGTCGAGCGAATCGTACTTCTCTCTATCCCTTATACGATATATTAAAGTGCGTTTCTCGTAATTATTCCGCGATCGGGAGTGCCGTGCAAAATGTTTCGCGATCGTTTCTATATATATATATATATTCTATGTATGTTCTATAAATATATAATTTTATAATATATATTTTATAATTATTATATATATTTTATAATTTATTTTTTAATTAAAAGGCGAATTAATCAGGATTTGAAACTTGTTTTTTAGAAACATATCTGCATCTTTCTCTTTTTTAATCGAAAAAAAGAGAGATGCTATATAGATAATTTTTCAATTATAAAATAAATTTCACACAAATTATATATTATATTATAAATGTATATAATCCACCCCTGTATGGGTACACCTTGACGCGGTGGGGTGGCTCAGTACTTGGATGGTGCCTTGAAGTTTATTTTAAATTTTTTAATTTAAGATAAATCTCAAGGAGCCTGAAGGGGAAGCTAAGTACCCTTTCGTGTCGTCGGTGCCGTTAACGTGCCGCGGACGGCAAGCGCTTCGTTATCGCGTTTTCGCGTTGTAGTATTTTCGCGTCGTCGTGTTTTCGCGGAACTTTTGGACTTTACTTTTATAAAATTTTTAATCGCATCGAAATAGTGCGGGAGTGCCGTTCAATATCGCGCGTAAAATAACGAAAATAGTGATATAAAAATATCGCTCGTGAGTGCGGGAGTGCCGAAAAGTATCGCGCGTTTAAGACTGAGAGGAGGAGGAGGCCTAGGAGAGGCATCGGGCTCCGGCAGAGCAACCTTCTGGTAAATAATTTCTTTATTTATAATTATATATTAAATATTAAATATATGTATTATAATTTAAATTAAACAATTAATCGTGTAATTTGATTTTTTATTTATATGATTTAAATAAGAGAGAATGAAAGATAAAGATTTTTAAATAAAAGCTATAATTTTGTAAAAATATAAGCTTTTATAAAATTAGTGAAGATAGAGAATTATTAATAAATGTTCTGTTTTTTTTTATTTTATAGAATTATTTTATTTGATTATTATTATTATACATATCATATTTTATTATTATACATATCATATATATATATATATATATATATATTATATATATTATATCGAATATAATTCAATGCATACAATAATAATTTTTTGAAATATTATTTTAAACTCCGCTACAATTTGAATTTTCTCTTTATATGTTATAGATCGACGCAGCAAACTTGACGACATGAGAGGTAGGAGCAGGCCTAGGAGAGGCATCCTGCACCAGCAGAACAACTTGATGGTATTATTATTTTTATATTACCTATTATAAATTGCATTAGTTTGATTCACTTATTCAAATGGTTTAATAAACAAGAGAGATTTAATAAACAAGATGATTTAATAAACAAGAGAGAAACAAGAAAGAAAAAGATTTTATATAAATCCTATAAAAAATATTTCTATTTAAAAAATAGAAACGTTTTTTTAAAATTTATAAAATTATTCCATATTTATATACTTGTTTATTATTGCTCGTATCGAATATAAAATTCGTTGCGTACAATAATAATTGAATATAATAAAAAACAGAAAAATATATATATATATATATATATTTATATATATATAATAAAATATTAATCATTTTAAACACTGCTAATTTGAATTTTATATTTATGTTATAGACAACGTAGCTTCGAAATCGACTCCGCTGCGCATCTCCGTTGCGCATCAGTGTCGGTGAGTCAAAAACTTTTATTTAATTTTAAGGTAACGGATTTGTGGAGTTTGTAGATGTAGATTGTAGATATAGATTGTAGATTATAGGTCCGTTACCTTAAAAAAAATGGGCTACAACAAATTAAATAAATTACATTTAATATACATATATATATATATATATATATATATATATATATATTAACTTTAGTACGTATATTAACTTAAATAGTTCTTTTCAATATATAGTAATGCAGCATCTTAGGAATGCAAATTTAAAATTAAATAAATATAGAA